TGTAGAGTCCTGACCTGTAGATGAGTGTAAACTGTAGAGTCCTGACCTGTGGATGAGTGTAAACTGTAGAGTCCTGACCTGTAGATGAGTGTAAACTGTAGAGTCCTGACCTGTAGATGAGTGTAAACAGTAGAGTCCTGGCCTATAGATGAGTGTAAACTGCAGAGTCCTGGCCTGATGATGTTGCTCTTCTGTGCTGGCTCATTCTATGGAACAATGGTTGCTTTGTTTCTCTGATGTATAACTGATCACAGTCTTCCTGACACTTAACAGCATACACAATATTACTCTGTTTGTGCCAGGGGACCGGATCTTTGGAGCAAACCAATCTTTATCATAATGTGTTCTGGGGTTTTAAAGCCAGTGGGTCGTCATGTTTAGAGAATAAACGTCTCAGTTTCTCTAAACGTCTGCAATGTAAAGGACATCTGAGCTCTTTTTCCCACCTCCTCCATGTACAGGTTTGCAACAATAGGGTAAACTGGGTTGCCCATAGCACACCCTTGTTTCTGCCTATAGTATTGACCCCATATGTGAAGTAGGTTGACTCCAGGCACAGTTTCAGGAGTTAGCACAGTTGTTCTGTGGAAAGAGTGGTTCTGCTGCTGAGAGTGGTGTCTGATTTTAATCTTACACAGACCACATCCACCGCCTTATCAACAGGAACGCACGTRAAGAGTGATGTGACATCAAAGGAGACCATAGTTTCATCTGTCTCCATGATGACATCCCTCACTTTGTTCACAATGTCCATGGTGTTCTGTATGTGATGATCTGAAATGCCAACTAATGGACCAAGTACTGACGCTAGATATTTGGAAACGTAAGTGACAGAGTTAATCATGCTAACAATAGGTCTTACCGGTACATCCTGTTTGTGAATTTTGGGTARACCATACAGACTAGGAGTGGCCTCACCTGGGTACAATGTGTGGTACAGAATGCGGTTAATAGCCTTGTCCTGCTCTAACTTTTTCRGGCACTCTATCAWCTTCTTCCTGGATCTCTYTTCAGTGGCTCGTATGTGGTTGTGTCACTAAGGAGTGTCATAACCTTTTCATGGTAGTCTTTCTGGTTCAAAATCACTGTGCACCCTCCTTTGTCTGCTGGGTGGATGATGATGTTCTTGTCCTTGCTGAGGGTGGTCAGAGGGTCATTCTCCTCTCTGCTGAGAAGAACCCGTCCAGAGGACCTACTTTTTTTTTTATCCAAAAGTTGGTCTCCTCTTCATTGAGTAATCCTAGTTTATGATCACACTTTGGTGTATATAAGTCAAATCATGACCCTCTATGAACAATAGAGCTAATCAAGCCTATTGTTAGGCGATGGTCCTCTTTTACATATGACTAACCTGTTTGTCCATGTGGAGGCAGTGCTTATAAGGCTGAGTTCACCTGAAACTCATCAGACTGAAGAAGTCTCTTGGAGGAGAGACGAAACGTTTCACTAAAGAAGAACCATCCAGAGGACCTACTGATTTTTCTTTTTGATATGTCTGATTTCTAACTGGGTGAATAAATGATGGATCAGTAGGCCTATCTGACCTGGTGCCTCCAACAGTGTAGCAGAGTGCAGAACCAGTATCACCTTGTTTTTCCCTTCATTTMATTCTACAACWTGACAAGATAAATATAAACTGTAGTTCTTTACTGTGAAACATTTCTTTACCTGAACAGACAAGTCCAACAGCKTTACCAGAATAATTTCTAATAGAATCGCCACAGTCCAAAAGTGCAGCTTCGTTGCCTTTACAGTGGAACTCTCTGCTCCAGGTTGGAGCCTCTGGTTCTCCATAGAGYRCCCCCTGAAGGACTGAAGGAGGACCACAGCCCAGCTCCCTGCAGACCACCTCTGCATCCTGCTGGTCAAAACCATCTTCACTCACTGAGGACCAGGACCGAGTCAACTGGTCAGACCTGACCTCCAGTCTGCCTGAGCACAGACCAGTCCTATTCACCAGTCTGACTGAGTCTGGACAGAGAGAGGAGAGGAGCAGCAGGTTAAAGTTCATCAGAAGGCCTGTGGGACACAGATGGTCTCATTTGGACCAGTTTACAAGGGTCCACTGATAGGTCCCTCTGCAGCACAACAAACATTTTTTCTGTTACTTTAAGATTGAGAAGATTGACTTCAAGATGATGTCACTGACACAACCTGAACAGATGATGTAGACAGAGGAAATCCAATATCTTCGCAGAGACACCACAGATCCACAGTCCAGCTGTCTGCACAGCTCCGCTGCTGAGGTCAGGGTCCAGTTAAGTTCATTGTCTTCCACCTCTCTCCAGATTCCCTGATCCTTCATCTCCAGTCTTCCTCCACAGCTGCTGGTCCCGTCCACCAGTCTGACCTCAGACACCACTGAAGCAACAAGATGAAGATGTGGAATAAAAACAAATGACGCTGAATGATTTTGTGGGATTTTTCTCTGGATTTACCTGCTGTGTGTTCAGCCCAGAGTCCTGAGGAGAAATCAGAGGAAACATGAAAAACATTTTCAGCTCTGGATCCAAGAAACCAGAGATTCTGGATTCATCATCAATGTTCTTTCAGGTTTGCATTTTCAAATGATTAAAGGAGACCTATTTGTGCAAAATTCACTTTTTAAAATGTTTTTATGCTTCAGACTGGATCTATACTAGCCTGGTAAAAACCAGACCCTTGTCCTTCACTTTGCTTCGTTCGAGGGTCTGGACTCGCGACTATAGAGAAGCGATTCATGCAGGAGGCGTGGCCTCTGCTGAAGTGYYGCTGTGAAGGAGGCTAAGCAAAGAAGCTAACTGGAAATCGCGTGTGCTGTAAACAACTCTGCAGAGAGGAGAGAAGTACCGAGCCGAACGAGACGACTGTAAATGAGAGCTGCTGCTTTGTCAGACAAATTTATTTTAATTTGGAAGCCTTATCAACACAGACTGATTCATTCACTTCCTCCACTGCCGTATGCTAAAATAACTAGCAGACACTGTGCAGAAAATCAACGTTGTTCAAAACTCCTTCTTCTGTTTGTTGAGTGGTCCAGGTAAAATAAACTGTAAGCAGACACTGCGCAGAAAATCGACGTTCTGTTCTCTGATTGGTCCGGCTAAAAATCTGCCAGAGAAATCCTTGTTTATGGAGAAATGCCAGACGGAGCAGWGAAGGAAACTAGAATTGAGCAGAACTACGTAAGAAGGCAAGAGCCAGGCTAGGTCTATGCTGCTTCCAGAAACAGTCCAAGTGCAAAAACAATGCTCCCAGTTGTTTTTTGACAATATATAAATGTTTTTTTTTTTAGTGTCAGCAAACAAGCAGTTTCCAAAACCTGGGGATAGTGACGTCACAATCCCAGTGATCTAGCAACGCCAAGGTGAGCCCAGTCCTTCACCTGGTAACCCAAGCAGAGACTCCGCCCACTTCTTCACAACACTACTGCATGAGTTCTGCTGTTTTTACAACAGTCCTGGAGAACAGAGATGTGTGGCTTAATTTARTTTTTAGTTTTATTTTTGATGGCAATGTTCTAGCAATAATCACAAAGAAAGTTGTRGTTTGTGTAAATAATTTCACCWTGGTCTACTTTAGAAACTACTATCAGCAGGATTTACCCAAAGACTTTCAGCTGAAGGAAACTTCTGTCCCAATTGTTCCTCACAAATCTGCAGATGATGACGGTGAGTGATGTGTTGTGTGTTTGGTGTTGCCGTTCAGYGTGAACAAAATTTGTTATTTAGCACAAACTGACCGTGCTGCTGGGATCGACTACCGAGGAGGTGAGCTGCTTCGCCTTTCCCCCCTCCGCCTGGGGAAACCGTGACAATGATCTGTGCTCCTCATTTTGCCCCTGTGCTGTCTGTTCTGTGGAGCATGAATCCCCTTCCCCCTCCCACCACTCCGGCCTGGGGAAGCGTGTTTGCCTCTCCTGGYACTGACACTCTCCCCTGGGGTGGCCACACAGAGTGGTGCGCGTCGCCTTCAACCGATCCGGCTGCACGCAGTGCGGCCACCCCAGGGCTCAGGAAAGACTGGAGTGTCTGACCRAAGTCAGGCGCCTTTTTGCTGGGGAGGCCAACATGAGTCATTCATCAATGAAGACGAACAGGTCAAGGTCCGCGACTAGCAGCCTGGAGACTCCCACACCACAGTGCTGGTGCCACGGAGGCCTCCAGGCTGCGAGTCGCGCACCTTGACCACCCCTCGGTTCGTCTTCGCCAACTTAAAGGGCCTGTGACATCAATTTTTTGTGATAAACATGGATGCATTTTTGGAAAGATAACAATGGTTGCATATTGCAAAACAAATTTCATGCTGCTGAGATGAACAGTTGTTGAGATATTTGCAGTGGAAGTAACAGGAAGTGATGTCAAAGGGGAATGTCTGAATGTAAACAGAGCAGTGTTACAACACACACAGATGTTTCTTTAGATTGTTTTGAGTCTCTATCAAAGAGAGGTGAAGAAAAGATAAAGTTTAAATAATTTTGTTTTAATGAGTTCCCCTTTGGTGTCACTTCCTGTTTCACTTTGGCTGATCCAAATTCAAAAGAAAACAGGCCAGTGATGTGACAAAATGGGTAAAATAATCTGTACTATGCCAATTTTCTTAAGCATAAAGATGTTTTCTTTGACTTTTTGTATTTGAAGGATAGGCTTGTCACAGGCACTTTAAGGAATCGGCGAAGGATGCGCGTTGGCCTCTCCGGCTGTGGCAGGATGCCAGGAGAGGATTCACAGACTGCTGTGTGTCCAGCAGGTGTCAGCAACATTTAAACACAGAGCTTCATGTCTGCARCAGTAACTCAATGTTAATGAACTCATATGTCTCTGCAGGAACTTACAGATGTTTTATGATTGTTGTCTGGTTTGACAGACTGTCAGAGCTGTTGTGTTTTGATGATTTGTTTGTTTTTACGTTAAGAAGAACTCATGCTACAGCGTTTTGTCCGCTGGAACACAAATTGACTGTCAGAACTTTACAGCGCTGGGTGAAACATCTCCCACAGGTCAGAAGAGACGGGACAGGAAAATAAACACAAAGATTATCATCCCATACATCACTGGAGAATACCTTAGAAGAATGTTCTCCAGACAGAACATCTGAAAACTAACAGGACCGGGCCCAAAGTGAGCAGAGTGAGGTCAGTGCAGGGGGAGGGTTCAGAGACCCCCACAGACACAGAGGAGCAGCTCAACTCAGCTGGACACCTACACCTCAAGGACAAAGGAGACACTGCTGAGGACAGGTCATTCCACAGAGAAGACAGATGGTTTTTATTTTATATTTTTGTGGGGGTGGAAATCATCTATGTCAAACAAGAAGAACCAACTTTAAACAGAGGAAGTGGTCTTAGACCAAACACTGAGCCTGATACCCAGTCAGTCAGTTTCCCTCTAACACACCTTTACGAGACCGAAACAGGTCTTTGTGAGCCAGGCAACCAAAGACCACTGGCTAAAAAGACCCTAACAACTCTCTGTAGTTAAATGTGTGTAACTCAATCTGCATGTGTGTTTAAGTTACACACAGTTTCACAAACAGTTGAAAAAAAGGAAAACTTCATTGAAGGAACAAGTCCGTGTTGGGTGGCAAAACCTCTTCAGTCCAGTTGTTTGTCTGTATTTATCATGTCTTTGAGAAGCTACACCTGCTAAGTTATTAATACAAAACATCACCTTTGTCTAAAAAGGTTTGGAAAAAACAAGTGAACATCAGGTTAGAGTGATCAGGTAAGACCTGATGATGAGAGAGCCCTACCTGAGCTGCAGACAGACAGAAACACCATCAATGCTGTGAGATCCATGTCCCCTCTGACTGGTCTCAGCTCCTGTCCCCTCTGACTGGTCTCAGCTCCTGTCCCCTCTGACTGGTCTCAGCTCCTGTCCCCTCTGA